GACCATCGCTTAGAGTCATGACTCACACTGGCTTCCCCCTTTTACTCTTTCTTGGTCACTTTGCTGAAACTTAGTGTCGGGAGGAGGTCATTACCTGTTTTTAAGTCAGTAATTTTTTATTCTGAAATATAATTCTGAAATATATGAAGAAATGATGTTGAAAACTGTTTTAATCAGTACACCTTTGTTTTCTTATAAATAAACCACTTGTGTAAGCCAAAGTCTAACTTAAAATATTTCCTGCGACAAACATGGTGTGCTTGTAGACAGGGGACCTGGGTTTTCCAGTGCTCTGGACCTTGCAGGAAAGGTTATGTAGTTCTGTTACCACAGGACATAAGTTGTAATACACTTCTCTTACAGCGGCGGGGTTTTTTCCCCTTTTCTTTCTTTTCTTTGCTGCGTTGTAGGAGTAGACTGACCTACCAGGCCTGTTTCTTAGTACAGGTCTGCACTTTATGCTTTTGATTTTGTGGTGTTATTATTAAATCTGTGCCTACATGAATAAATGTTTGATGCTCAGTAAAATATGTCCAATAGAAAAAATTGTAGTTGTCGACACAGACCTTATCTGACATTTGAACCGGTGTTGTATTTTTTTTATATTACCGTTGAAAATATAAAAAGCAAAAAAACCTTAATTTTTATGCTTTTATAGAATTCTTTGCAGATAGTGCTGACATATTTGAAATTGTTTTTCTATTCTTTCATGCTCAAAAGAAATTAAAATAGCATACATAAAATAACAGTCCTCTTTGCTGTAGTCTACAGAGGGAAACCCACTCTACTTAAGATGCACATGGCTGTTGTGTTTTCAGCTGTCAGTATTGTCTTAAGTGCATTAGGGCTGCCTTTTGTTAAGAAAACAGTGTTGCATTGTTAGGTAGTTTGAAAATATGATGATGGTACATAAACACAAAAATATTTGGGTGTCCTGGGTTCAGCCTGAATAGGGTTAATTTTCATCAGAAGCCAGGAGGGGACACAGCTGACCAGCTGACCCAAACTGGCCAAAGACACGGGGTATTCGATACCATAATTTTGCCTATTTCTTCCTATTCTCCTCTCCACCCCACCAGGGGGAGGGACAATAGAGAAGCCACGTGCTCCTTTGTTGTGGCCGGGGCCAAACCACAACATTGGGAATATTTATAATAGTGCTATTTTAAGATTTCAGTTAATAATCAGAGGTCTCAGGGCAGGTTTTCCATTGGACTGGATACCAAGTAAGTAGAAACATAGAACTGTTTCCTGCAACAGTCATATTTTTTGTTTTTAATGAAAACTAAAGGGGAAAATTTAGGGGAAGGGTTGGCTATGAAAGCTACCAGTGGTATGTTGATCCTCCAGCTAGTTCACTGTTTACTCAGAGTACTGCATGGGCTGGCTTTGAAGCTGTGGAAGGACTTTCAAAGAGGAAGCTGAATTAGAATAATAATCATCATCATTTAAACAATAGCAATAAAGCTATTCCCATTTGAAAACATTGTCCTGGTATATTTTGGACATTGTTGTCTGGTGCTTGTGTTCTCATTTACTCTGTCACCTGCTTCCTGTGTTTTCCAGCCTCAGTACCAGCTAGCAGATCTCTGCGTGTGGTGGTAGCAGTAGGCATGGCAAGGTGGACATCATCATGAAGTAGCAAGTCCTATGAAGCCCATTGTGAATCATATTTAATTATTAGGCTTTGGACTTTTATTTTTTTTTAAGAAATCTGTGAATAGCAGGCAGTTAATAGGAGAAAGAAAATCTTTTGCACAGATAGCCACGAAACCCAAACTTCTGAGTAATCTTTCCTACTGTCATCCTGTTGCCACCCTCATAGCCTTCTGAAGAAAGCAAAGAAGTTTGTAGTTTTACACCTTCCTTGATTAGGTCTCAGTTTGAGAGTCACCTAACCTCTCATGTAATTTAGAATTAGAGTATGGTGTGAAAATGCTTTTTTTTGTCTTCCCCAAGTTTTGTTGAGCTTTGCCTTGTGCTTCCCCTCACTATCACCCCAGTCCTGTGCTCAAAGCAGGTCTCTGTCTGCTGACATGTAGTGTTAATACTCAAATTGTTCGTAGAAGTCCTGCTTCCAGTCCATCATCTGCTCCATTCATCTCTGAAAGTGAGATACTCTTGCTTCATCTTGTAATCCCTGTAGCTAGGGTCAAAGGAAAAATAATGCTGTATGGAGACAAAGAAAAGGAGTAGGTCTACTTCATTAATTGATGAGAACTAGTTTCTGATCATCTTCAAGTCCTTAATACTGGAGGAATACAGTCTGGAGGCAAATCAGCTTCTGCTTGCTGCAGTGATAGCAACATCCAAAGTCGGGTTCCACCAGTGATAAAAAGCAGCTGTTTATTTCATATCCTGTGCTGTTCAGTGTGATGTTAGTAAGTGACCCTGCAGTTTGTGCAGGGCTCCATTTTCACCACGTGGCCTGGCTCTATCACTTGCTTCAGGAAAAAAGACTTGAATGACTGTAAAGTGGCATAGCTCGGCCACGGGCTGTGTTGTAGCTTCTAGTATGGGCTTTGGTGGTGCATCCCTTCGAAATGGCCATCTGCGTGCTGGAGGGAACACTGGTTTCCCCTGTTTCCAAGCTTTTTTTGTAACAGTATAGAGACAGTATATAGCTTTTAATCTTCCCTTTTTGCCTGCAGTGAAACTACTTGAGGATCATGCCCAATCTATTATGAAAACCTTTGTAGCTATGGCAAGAGTGCTCTATAATCATTAAGAGTATTTACCTGTTTACCAGACTTTCTGTTTGCAGAACTAGTTTGTTTGGAGGTAGCACTAAAATCCTTTAAAAGGAGGGCAAACAAAATGGCGTGCGGCAGCCAGCTTATTAATTGTGTACAACGTGGTTATTTTACTGGGTGATGCACATACCTACGTGTGCATGTGTGACCAAGTGTCATGGGATGTATAGAATGATTGATTAAAACCATGCCTTTCCCACATCTGGGTTATATTAGTCCAGAGAGAAAATATGCAGCTTAAAATCTCTGTGAATAATTACCCTGACATGTTGCTTATCAGAAGGCAGCCTTTCCTAGTGCAGCTCGGCAGATGAGAAGGCAGGAGGAATAAACACCAAAGTTGCTTATTCATAAGCAATGTCTCTGGTTTCTGGGCAGGGGTTAACTCATGGTTTTAATAAATCTGGACACGTTAGCAATGGCGTGAAAATAACAGATCCGAACAGGGTTGCAGGTAGAGCCAGTGCCAGTAGCAGTAGGCAGCCGGAGGGCCTCCTGCTTTCAGAAAGCCTTTGTTCAGAGAAAAATGCAACATCAGGATCCTTGGGGGGTGCAGTGGCAGTGGTGGGGAAAGTGGAAGGGGAAGGTGTCAGTGGTTTTAGAGGATATCAGACTATAGAATAGGAATCAGCTGGAATCAGTTTTTTCTTTTTGTAAGATTTTAGTATATCAAGCCTGAGAAAAGCATCAGTCAAGTGTGATATTGATGATGGGATGAAATATGTCTACTCTGAGTTACTCCCCGGGTAAATCCAGTGCCTACTGGGAAGAGGTGGACTGCGAGGGTCCCCAGTTTTGGGAGGCTGCCAGTGCCATCGTCTGGTTCCCCTGAACGTTGCTGCCATTCTGTAAGATGCCAAAATCCATTCCTTTAAGAGTTTGTATATTATAAATTAGGAAGGTAAGTTAATGACATAGTAAGAATGAATGAACAAATGAATGTTATGCACCGGGGAAGTAATACAGCTGGGGATGCTTAAATCCAGCTGTGTGGGAGAGATTTACTGGCTACTATTGCTTCCCTTCTCTCACCTGAAATAACCCAAACCCCATACCAGCAGGTAATGTCTACTTATGGCGCAGTCCCGATAGTCAACAGAGTGAGGACCCCTGGCCTGTCTTCCTTCCACTATAGGACAGTACAACAGCTCTGCGTCCTGCAGGAGAGAATTTAATAAGTCATTCTGTCATCCTTGGAGAGGGAATTTTCCCTCCCTGAAAAGGTACAGGTTATTTGATTATTATTTGCTTTGGACAGTGGTGTTGGAGCATGGGTATGCACAGACTCTGATGTTTGCTGTCTTGCTGCACATGAGCCACAGCTGGTGTTTTCTGTGCACTTCTGTGCTTTGCAAGCCTTCAGCAGTAAAATGAACAGAGGAAGGAGAACAAAATGTAAACATCCCTGCAATACAGTTGCCCTTTCCTGAGGATAAACAACGGAGCCCTATCCATAAAATGCATTCCTGAATGGTCACTGCACCTCACTATTAACGAGGATGATACCAAAAAGCAACATGTCCAGAAAGCTGTCTGTAACTGCATCACCACAGTGTCACTGACCAGGCACCACTAGCACCAAGATCGGCAGCAAAACTGCTTGGGCTTGACCCTCTTTGTCAAACTGTTGTTCTCTGTCTTTTGGGGGGAAAAAACAAAACAAAAAAAAGCTTGATTCCCTGCAGTGTTCTTGGGAGAGATGTATTTGCCCATCCCTCCGACCTATCACCATGGGGACTGCAGCACACACACCACACCCCCCCCTCCCAGCACTGGGTTAATTAATGTCTTGTTCTTCCCATGCTTCCCAAACACTGGAGAGCATCAGGCTGTGCTCCAAACCAAAGTTGCCTTGCACAAGGCTTCATGGATGTGCAGTAAACCTCAATTTTCAGCTTGTGCTGGATAAACATATAGATGCAGAATTGTCTAAGCCATGGTAGGAGCAGTAGCTGTTTTGATGGGCAGCTTCCCTACAGTTATGAAACAGGGCAGCTGGGGATCTAGGAAATCCAGAGGCTGAATTAATCCCTCAGAAACTCCCTACGAACTAGCCCATGTTATGTAGTGAAACCCAGGGGAAAGACCCCCATGCCAGCGCCGACTGAGTCCACTATTGTGATCC